TATTGAATTTTTATGCGTTGCATAAATAATATATTTTTTATGCATGTTTCGCAATTTTTGAGATTTTATTATCAAAGAATAATATAACATATAACTTATAGTTCACTTGAAAAGGACCAAAAACTGTGGTCGAAACGTAGTGAGAGTATTCAATAAATTATTTGCTAGAACGGTCGAAAGGAGAGTGTTTATTATTTCTTAATATAACTTTGCTTCGCGTGCGTAATTATATATTTGACGAAATTAAACGAAATTATATATATATATATATATATATATATATATATATATATATATACATTGTATATATATTATGATTTATGTATAACATTGAAACCTTTTGTTTATTTTTTAATTAATAATGTATAATGTTTGCAAAAGGAAGGAAAGCCTATATGGGATCCTAATTATTACACAAACATGACACAAGATGCGTTGGAGTACATTTTCCGAAGTGACAATGGCGAAACTCACTTTCCGTTTTTAAAATTAAGACTAAAGATTTTACAAATTGTCGGACTAACTTTGTTGCATAAATATCAAGGTATAAATTCTGACATTACATGAAGATTTATAACTTATATATAATATCTTGTAATTGATGTATAGCAAAAAACTTTTTAAAGTATTTCTATGTTTCTTAAGAAAAGAGAAAAGAAATTCTCTTTAAGTTATGAAATGTAGATGTCATATAAGCAATACATGTTTTCCAATCATAAAAAATATATATTATTAAAATTATTATAGGCACTTTTCTAGAATGTATCAAATCATCCGATTACGATGCCGATAAATTAATGAAATTACTTTTTGATGAATTCAGCGTATATCGAGACGAAATAAAATACGATGGCAAAAGGGGTAATTAATTAATATTATAATATTGCAACACATAATTTGCGAATCACACGCATGGAGATATTAAATAATAAAAAATCAATAAAAGTATTATTTTAATAGAATTTTGATTAAAATAAATGAATAAATTTGTTTATAGTTTAGTGTTCTAATGGATTTCGTGAAAATTATTTATTTGACTAATATATCAGTTGAGTATTAGATAAACATCAACAATTTTTTTTTTTTATAGCACTTTAATAATTTAATAATAAGATTCGTAAAATATAATTTAATAAGGTATTTGTTATTATGTTGATAAAGTACATTATTATAATTTTGATTTTTATTATTAGAATTAATTTATTTTAATAATTTAGTACCTTTTTGTATATTAAATATTAATTTAGTCATTTTATTTTTATTATCTTTTAGTTCGTTTTCTTATCAAAGCAAAATCACTGGTGACTGACATATGGACATATTTTAATGAAAAACCTGAAATTAAACTGCATACAAAAGAGCTGATGTCTACGACATTCATTGATTGTCGTATTTTTCAATTATTGCTGCAAACCAAACTTTTGCGTTACAGTGACGATCTCGCGAAGAGATTTGAAGATAACAGTAAGTTTTTTTACGAGTCGCAGATATTGAATTTAAAAAAATTTTTTACAATTTAATTTTTAACTCTACTACTTATATATATATATATATACAGGGTGTTCGGCAACAGGTGGGCCAAAATGTAAGGAGTGGTTCTACATGATAAAATAAGACGAAAATCAAGAATGACAAAATTGCGTCCGAGACTTTGTTTATTAATTATAAATATTTTAAACTTCGCATTAAGGGCGCCTGACGCACGGCAATTTTCCGATTATTGGCGTGCGTAAGGTACATCGGTAGAGTCGCCGTCAAAATACACTGTGACGCATAAATATACAAAAACTTACATCGTATCAGTTGATGTATATTTTGCAAAGTGTAAAATATTTATAATTAATAAACGAAGTCTCGAACGCAATTTTGTCATTCTTGATTTTCGTCTTATTTTATCATGTAGAATCACTCCTTACATTTTGGCCCACCTGTTACCGAACACCCTGTATATATATATATACTCGTAATTTGATGAAACAGTGTATTTTTTCAATATAAAGCTGGAAATACAATAATAAACACAGGAAACATTTACTACATTTTAAAATACTAATCATTTTAATTCTCAAAAGAATATCTATATATTATTATACTTATTTATTTTCAACATTGAAGATTTGCAATATACAAAAAATAGTTAAAGTTATTTTTTTAAAGAAATTTTTTATTCATAAAAATTTCTGCTTCACAACATATTTGTATGATTAAAGTACGAAATTGTTTGTTTTACAAGAATATTTTCATTAATGGTATTATATTGTCTGAACAAAAATGAGACGAGAATGAAATTAATAAAGGTATATAGTATTTTATAAGATATTAGTTGTCATTTTTATTATTATATAAGATTTAATATTAGTGCTCGCTCGTTTATTTGAGACAATTTGCGATTTTACAAGTAGTTAGAAAGTTGAATTATTGTAGCTAAAAAATTGTTATTAAATTCTAAAATATATTATAATATCACTGTAAAAGTTATAACATATATTTATTGTATAAAAGTTTGCATTTAGAAAATTTTAAATTTAATTTTGTTCCAATATGAATCGGTTAGAATGCATTTTTAGTGAATCGTATTAAAAAAGCGTGCTGTATTTTTTTGCAGATGAACCACTTCTGCATGAAAGCAGAGAAGAAATTGAGATACGTGGTTGCTCACTTTTCGTTATCCAAGAAATATGTAACGAATTACAAAGATTAAGCCAGCATTACATAGAACAAGAGCCTATTCTAAAAGATTTAAATATTTCGATTGTGGTCAATAATCTGTTGTGCATACTTCTATTTCGTGGAATTAAAAAAAAGTTTTTCAATGCATACCCATTGCATTGTATTGAAACCATATACTATTAAAATATTATATTTTATCATATGTCTGTTAACTTGCAAATAACTGATCAAAAATATTAATCATTTCTTTTGTAATAATGTTATATTTATATACACATGACAATATCTATAATATAATATAAAATTATAATGTAAGGTTTACTCTTAATAATTAACGGTGATGATTCAATCGATATTTATATTATCGATTGATATAGCATTGAATCTGAAAATATATTTCTCTTAGCGTTTTAAAACATATAGTTTTATTGAGAATACTGATATGTATTCGAGAAATAATAATGTACATTATTCTGATACATGCAAACATAGAAATTGGAGAAATATATTTTTTAAATAAATTCATGTGTATTATAAATTTAGTATATAAAACTTGAGCTATGATTCTTTAATTAATATGTTCTGCTTTTATTATTTGTGACAACGCGGGAAAAAAGTTTTTATGTTACATAAAACAATATAAAGTTATATAGATAAAGTTATATATAGAAATATATAACATTATACGAATTATTGCGAAATTATATATGAAACATGTCCTTACATAATTAGATAAAAGTATGTTTTATATATAATTATATAAATTTATATATAATTATATAAATTTATATATATTATAAATGTTTCTTCATATATATGTATAAATAACAAGGTTTCATATATAATCACATATAATTTGACATGATTATATATGAAATCCTTATAATTTGTATATTTTATATAATTATGTATAAAAATGAACATATTTCATATATAATTATGTAGCAAATTTTCTATTAATCTCTTTGTTTACACAATTAATCATATTCAATTATATCATTAATTGTAATTATAATAGTAGAATTTTTAATTATAATAATTTTTATAACTAGTCATAATAATTATAATAGTTCTTTTACTTTTACTTTGCACGTAAAATTTTTTTAATATTTTTATTTTGATAGTTTATATTCTAAAATTTAAATGAGTGAAAGAAAGAATCAATGTATATTAAATTATTGTATATGTATTCTTATCTTATATTAATAGCTAATCAAAGTATAGCCACTGCTATTGTGATATTGTTATATTGAGGTACACATAACAATCTCAGTAATATAATATAAAATTGATTTTAAAAATGATGATGACGCATTCGATTTTTATTTTATTGAATGAGATAGATATTTAATCCAAAAATATTTGTTTTTTTATCATTATAATGTATATACACATACGTAGATTTATCTGGAAATATCGATATGTATTCGAGAAATTACATTGTATATTATTCTGATATATGCAAAAATAAAAGAAGTTCAAGAAATCTATTTTCTTTATAAATTTATTACTTGTAAATTAGAACTTCAGTTTATCATTGTAATAGAAGTTCTTTTTCTTTTACTTTGCTTACAAAATCTTTTATATAATTTTTTTTTCGACAATATAATTTTTGAAATTTATATGAAAAAAAGAAAGATATTTTTGTAATATTTATTAAATTAATTTAAATGTATTTTTCACTGACTGTTTTTATGACAGTACATTTTTACAAAATTTTAAATTGTATTGTCGTTTTTATGTATATAATATATTTATATTTGATAACTATTCAACTTTGTTTCGCGGAGAAGATAAATCTATATTATTCTATATATATATTTTAGAAAGACAATAGGATAAATTAAGAGTTACAAATGTAGTTAATCTTAAAAGTAAAAAGTTATTTTGCAATTTGTATATATAATAGAATAAGAAATAATGCATATTTTTTAAGTTATATATTTTTCAAGTAATAATTTCTACAATTCTACATATTTAAATTTACCTCTTTTTGACAGATATAGTTTGCTATTTATTTGAATTTACAATTAGTGTTAGTACACAAATGTGTATCTAGCATATAGTTAAAAAAAAATAAAAAATATAATCAGATAATTAGATCTATTTTTGATTGTTACATTCTCTACACTGAATATGAAATATCACAATATGACATAGTTTCATAAGTGTTAGGAGAAAGGTAAAAAAATATAATTAATTAGACAAGTGTTATATAATGTAATTAAATAATTAAATTAAATCAATGTAATTAAAATAAAAATATAAGCATAATTGTATAACTAACAAAATGTTCAAAGTAAGTCTAAATGACGGACTTTAACATATTTTTGTACATAAACTAATGTTTATGTTTACAACCATGTAAATGTTAAGTTTTTGTTCAAGTTTATATCGAATTTATTTTCTTTCGCTGACATCTAAGATCAGTTCCACAGAAAGCATAGTTACAGACACTCAACAGTGTGAAACGATTGCCCATTAAAACGTGAAATCATGGCCGAGTATAATAGCAGCAACGATGTGATGGAATTATCGGAGGCGGTGAAAAAGATCAGTAATAATGCACAAGATGTTTTTGTCAACAAAGAAAATATCCCAAAAGCAGCGGAAAGCGTATGTATTTTTACAACTTACATTAAAAATTTTGAGATATTTGCGACATGTTTTATAAGAAAATATGTTAATTTCGCATTTTAAATATTCCAAGAAAATTTCATAATTTCGTTAAATTATATAACGCACTTTCGTTACGTAAATCACTTATGTAGAATATTTACATTGAAAAAATAAGATACAATTATAAGAAAAAATGAACAAAATATATTTAAGAAATTTTATTTTGTATAGATTTTTTGAGGATATTATACATAAGAAATTGAAGAAATTATAAATAAAGAATTGTGTATCGATAAAAAACATTAAATATTTTCTATTATCAAATTAATTTTTTGATAAATATATTAGTTACCAAAACAATGATATATACCCTTGTGACTTTATTTTTATTATCGTTGTACGAATAATATTAATTTTTATAGAATTCTTTTTACATTTATGGATAATAGATATTTTAATTTACATATAGATGATGCGTCATTTATTGAAAAATGTTAAGGACTTCCATGCATATAATGACAGATTTGTACGTCCTTTCGCATTTCTGCGTGAATTTGAAGACTCGAAAAAAGCGAATTGGCTATTTGTGTTGCATACATTAAATTTCTCACTTTGGCATCGAAGAGGTAGTAGGCAATGGAAAGTTAATGGTGAAAAAGGATATTTTGGATTATGCAATGCTTTAAAGCGGGCCACTGAAGTGAGTATAATATACTTATTTACTTTTGAATAACATAACTGACGTAACTAACAATATTATTAATTTCTTTCGTTGTACCTTTAGTGTGTAGGTTCAGTATTGTATGTCACATAATGAACATAAATTATATTAAGAGTTTAACAAGGCTCTGTAATATAAATATAAATTTAAAGATATAAGATAAGCAATAAGAGCCAACTCGCGGATGACAGTGCGTTATTTTAACGAAACTAAATTTTTTCGTTAGTATTAAGTATCTGTGCACAAGGCACCAAATTTTACTTGGTTACGGCCAAGATTTTAAAATATAAAATAATCTCATATTTGAGATTTAATTTCAATAACCCTTTCACCCTCCTGCGGAAATAAGTAAATGCAAGAGAAAAATATAGATCCGAAAGTCTCTGAAACGGGAATTCTGCGCGAGTCTATACTGAAAGCGTAGATATTTAGTCACAAAAGATTCTTGAAGAAAATTTTATTTCTTCGTTCGTATATGCTGTAAAGATATAAATATTGAATTTTTATGCGTTGCATAAATAATATATTTTTATTCAATGATTGCAACAATAATTTTTGTATGCATGTTTCGCAATTTTTGAGATTTTATTATCAAAGAATAATATAACATATAACTTATAGTTTACTTGAAAAGGAACAAAAACTATGGTCGAAACGTAATGAGAGTATTCAATAAATTATTTGCCAGAACGGTCGAGAGGAGAGTGTTTATTATTTTTTAATGTAACTTCGCTTCGCGTGCGTAATTATATATTTGACGAAATTATATATATATATATATATATATATATATATATATATATATATATATATATATATATATATATACATTGTATATATACTATGATTTATGTATAACATTGAAACCTTTTATTTATTTTTTAATTAATAATGTATAATGTTTGCAAAAGGAAGGAAAGCCTATATGGGATCCTAATTATTACACAAAACTGACACTAGATGCGTTGGAGTTCATTTTCCGAAGTGACAATGACGAAACTCACATTCCGTTTTTAAAATTAAGACTAAGGATTTTACAAATTGTCGGACTAATTTTGTTGCATAAATATCAAGGTATAAATTCAGACATTACATGAAGATTGATAACTTATATATATATTATCTTGTAATTGATGTATAGCAAAAAACTCTTTAAAGAAGTTCTATGTTTCTTAAGAAAAGAGAAAAGAAATTTTTTTTAAATTATGAAATGTAGATGTCATATAAGCAATACATGTTTTCCAATCATAAAAAATATATATTATTAAAATTATTATAGGCACTTTTCTAGAATGTATCAAATCATCCGACTACGATGCAGATAAATTGATGAAATTACTTTTTGATGAATTCAGCGTATATCGAGACGAAATAAAATACGATGGCAAAAGGGGTAATTAATTAATATTATAATATTGCAACACATAATTTGCGAATCACACGCATGGAGATATTAAATAATAAAAATCAATAAAAGTATTATTTTAATAGAATTTTGATTAAAATAAATGAATAAATTTGTTTATACAATAGTTTAGTGTTCTAATGAATTCGTGAAAGCTATTTATTTGACTAATATATCAGTTGAGTATTAGATAAACATCAACTCATTCTTTTTTATTTTATAGCACTTTAATAATTTAATAATAAAATTTGTAAAACATAATTTAATAAGGTATTTGTTAATTATGTTAATAACGTACGTTATTATAATTTTGATTTTAATTATTAGAGTTAATTTATTTCAATAATTTACCACCTTTTTTTGTATATTAAATATTAATTTAGTCATTTTATTTTTATTATCCTTCAGTTCGTTTTCTTATCAAAGCGAGATCACTGGTGACTGACATATGGACATTTTTTGATGAAATTAAACTGAATACAAAAGAACTGATGTCTACGACATTCATTGATTGTCGTATTCTTCAATTATTGTTGCAGAAGAAACTTTTGCGCTACAGTGACGATCTCGCGAAGAGATTTGAAATTAACAGTAAGTTTTCTACAAGTCGCAAATATTTAATTAAAAAAATACTTTTTACAATTTAATTTTTAAACTTTACTACTCATATATATTCGTAATTTGATGAAACCGTGTATTTTTTCAATATAAAGCTGGAAATACAATAATAAACACAGGAAACATTTACTATATTTTAAAATACTAATCATTTTAATTCTTAAAAGAATATCTATATATTATTATACTTAATTTATTTTCAACATTAAAGATTTGCAATATACAAAAATAGCTAAAGTTATTCTTTTTAAAAGAAATTTTTTATTCATAAAAATTTCTGCTTTACAACATATTTGTATAATTAAAGCACAAAATTGTTTGTTTTACAAGAATATTTTCATTAATAGTATTATATTGTCTGAACAAAAATGAGACAAGAATAAATTTAATAGAGGTATATAGCATTTTATAACATATCAGCTGCTTTTTTATTATTATATAAGATTTAATATTTGCTCGCTCGATCATTTGAGACAATTTGCGATTTTACAAGTAGTTAGAAAGTTGAATTATTGTAGCCAAAAAATTGTTATTAAATTCTAAAATATATTATAATATCACTGTAAAAGTTATAATATATGTTTATTGTATAAAAGTTTGCATTTAGAAAATTTTAAATTTAATTTTGTTCCAATATGAATCGGTTAGAATACATTTTCAGTGAATCGTATTAAAAACGTGCTGTATTTTTTTCGCAGATGAACCACTTCTGCAAGAAAGCAGAGAAGAAATTGAGATACGTGGTTGCTCACTTTTCGTTATCCAAGAAATATGTAACGAATTACAAAGGTTAAGCCAGCATTACATAGAACAAGAGCCAATTCTAAAAAATTTAAATATTTCGATTGTGGTCGATAATATCTTGTGCGCACTTCTATTTCTTGAAATTAAAGATAAATCTTTGAATGCATACCCATTGCATTGTACTGAAACCATGTACTATTAAAATATTATATTTTATCATATGTCTGTTAACTGGCGAATAACTGATCAAAAATACTAATCATTTCTTTTGTAATAATGTTATATTTATATACACATGACAATATCTATAATATAATATAAAATTATAATGTAAGGTTTACTCTTAATAATTAACGGTAATGATTCAATTGATTCTTATTTTATCGATTGATATGGCATTGAATCTGAAAATATATTTCTCTTAGCGTTTTAAAACATATAGTTTTATTGAGAATACTGATATGTATTCGAGAAATAATAATGTACATTATTCTGATACATGCAAACATAGAAATTGGAGAAATATATTTTTAAATAAATTCATGTGTATTATAAATTTAGTATATAAAACTTGAGTTATGATTCTTTAATTAATATGTTCTGCTTTTATTATTTGTGACAACGCGGGAAAAAGTTTTTATGTTACATAAAACAATATAAAGTTATATAGAAATATATAATATTATACGAATTATCGCAAAATTATATATGAAACATGTCCTTACATAATTAGATAAAAATATGTTTTATATATAATTATATAAATTTATATATAATTATATAAGTTTCTATATATTATAAATAAGTGTTTCTTCATATATATGTATAAATAACAAGGTTTCATATATAATCACATATAATTTGACATGATTATATATGAAATCCTTATAATTTGTATATTTTATATAATTATGTATAAAAATGGACATATTTCATATATAATTATGTAGTCAATTTTTTGTCAATCTTTTTGTTTATATAATTAATCATATTTAATTATATCATTAATTGTAATTATAATAGTAGAATTTTTAATTATATTATTCATGATAATTATAATAGTTCATTTACTTTTACTTTGCACGTAAAATTTTTTTAATATTTTTATTTTGATAGTTTATATTCTGAAATTTAAATGAGTGAAAGAAGGAATCAATGTATATTGAATTATTGTATATGTATTCTTATTTTATTTTTACATGTATTTATTCGTATTCTTATCATATCTTTTTAATGACATAACATTTTTACAAAATTTTAAATACCGTTTTTATAATATAGTTGCATATACATAATATTTATATAATTAGCAACTTTTCGACTTTGTTTCGTGGATAAGTTTAATCTATACTATTTTAAATCAATTTTCGGAAAAGAATAAAAGAGAAAATGTAGTTATATAAAAAAAGGATAAATTATTTTGCATCAGTTGTATATAGAATAAGGAAAATTGTATTTTTAGTTTTATATTTTTCCAGCTATAATTTCTACATTTCCAATTTCTATATATTTAAATTTATCGTTTTTTTTATATAGTATGTATATTTATTTTACAATTAGTACAAGAATGAGTATCTGCGATGTAGTTAAAAAAGCAAAATTAAATAAATGCATTTATTTTTTATGACTATTATACTTAATATGACATAGTTTCATAAGCATTAAGAAAAAGATAAAAATACATTAAGGCAATAATTAGACAAGTATTATATAACGTAAAGCAATTAACATAATATAATTAAAATTATGTAATTAAAATGAGCAAAATATAAGCATAATAGCATAACTGAAAAAATCTTCCAAGTGATTAAATAACCTACTTTAACACATTTTAGTACATAAACAAATGTTTATGTTTACGACCTTATATATGCCGAGTTTTTATTCGAGTATATATTTGAAATCAATATTAAATTTAAAAACACTGTATAAGTTATGATATATTATTTATTGCATAAAAGTTTGCATTTAGAAAATTTTAAATTTAATTTCGTTCGAATATAAAGAGTTCAAAATGCGTTTTCAGTGAATAGTATTAAAAAAATGAATTTTTTTCGCAGATGAACCTCTTCAGCATGGAAGCAGGGAAAAAATTGAGATACGCGGTTGCTCACGTTTCATTATCCAAGAAATATGCAACAAATTACGAACATTAAGCCAGCAATACCTATCAACAAAACCTATTCTAAGGACAAAAGCGCTTAATATACCGGTTGTGGTCGATAATTTCTTTTTCGGTCTTCTATCTGTTACAATTAAAAAGAATCTGTCGAGCAATGTCTATTGCATTTTATTAGAACCTTGTACTATATATCAAAACATTATGATATTTTATCATATTTATGTTAGCTTGTGAATTACTGATCAAAAGTATTAATGATTGCTGTTGTAATAATATTATGCTGATGTACACTTGTAACAGATGATGCAATTAATTCTCATCTTATCGATTATTTTTTATAGAGAGATGGATATTTAATTCAAGAATATATTTTTCTTATTATTTTAAAACACATATTTTTGTTGAAAATATATTGTTGTATTCGAAAATTAATAATATATATTATTCCGATATATTTATTATAATAAGATAAAACTGGAGAAATTTACTTTTTATAAATGTATATCAGAAATTTAATATATGATACTTATACGGTAATTCTTCAATTAATTTGTTGTGTATTAGTCATTTGAAACATCAAATATTGAAAATAATATTTCTTGTGCAAACTTCGACTCAATTATTTGTTTGAGTATAACTGATTATTTTAATTATAATAATTATTTTACTTTTATTTGTTTATAAAACTTTTTGTATATTATATTTTTATTTCGATAGTTTAAATTTTGAAATTTAAATGCATTAAGAAAGTTATATTATTTTCCTAATATTATTAAGTTTTGTAGATATATTTTTCTCTTATTTTATTAAGAGCATAAAATTAATACTTGCATAGTCGTATGTCGTATACATACAATAATATTGCAAAATTTTATATAATTGTTTTTATAATATACATATACATAATATATGTATATAGGAATGATAACTATTCAGCTTCGTTTCGCAGAGGAAATAATTCTACACTATTTTAAATAAAATTTAGAAACGGAATAGAATAAAAAAATTACAAATGTTATTCAATGTTATAAGAAAAAATCATTTTGTATAATTTTGTATGTGAAATAGGAAGAATTGCATATTTTTTCAATTATATATTTATTCAGCTATGTATTTCTTACATTTCTATAATAATTTTAATTTACCCCTTTGTATACAAAGTATGGAATGCATATAAATTTTATTTTACAAGGAGTACAAGAATGTATTTTATAATTAAAGAAATAAAATTAAATAAATATATTAATTTTTTTAAAATATCATGATAAAAACAATAATCTTTTATTATATTTTACAATACTTTAAATATCACTTATTGTCGTTTATTTGCTTAGTTATTTAATTTTAAATAACTTACTCTTGCTAAAACAATTATCTATATTACATAGATAATTATTGAAGATTAAAAATATGGAATATCTAAAAAATAGCTAAATAGTTTTCTGAACAGATATTTTTTATTCATAAGAATAATTTATAACTTATATTATAAAAAATTCTTAACTTACGGATAATCAGAACGCGAACTTGTTTATTTTCCTAGAATAGTTCAATTATTTTACTGATTTGCGTGTAAACAAGAATTATTTAAGAATAAATTCAATTTTAGAGATGGATAAAGATAGCGTTTTATAAAATCTTACAATTAGTATAATATAAATTCTTAGTATTATAAAGTTTTATAAAGTTTTATAGAGCTATTTTAGTTTTTTTATTTTGTTAAATTTAATACAATATTTGCTCGCTCAATTATGGGAGATAACGATTTTATAAGTAGGTAAAAAAATTGATTGACAGATATAAAACGTTGTTATTAAGCTTATTTATAATGTTTATAATCTTTCAAATTAATACCATTCTACAAAGCTTTTCACACCACATTCTGTCAACTTTATTATCAATTATGATATTTTAATTATGGCATAAAAGTTTGCATTTCTAAAATGATTCTTGTTTGAATGCATTTTGTTTCAAATATTGTAAAAAATTCAGAAAGCGAGTTTAGTGAATTATATTATAAAAACGGGCTGTATTTTTTTCGCAGATGAACCACTTGAGCATGGAAACAGAGAAGAAATTGAGAAACGCGGTTGTTCACTTTTCGCAGCCAGAGAAATATGCAAAGAATTGGTTAGATTAACAAGCCAGCGTCGCGTACAAGAAAACCCTAATCTAAACCATATTCTAAAGTCAAAAAAGGCGTTCAACCCACAGATTTTAGTTGATAATTTTATACTGGTAGAAGCAAATTATTTTATAACTCGAAAAGAACAGATTAGAAAATATGAATCTATGTAAGAGCCGAGCCATTATATTAAAACCGTGCACTACTAAAACTGTTGCTATTATATTTTTTTTACATTAGTGCTGGTTTGCGAATAGCTAATCAAAGTATAGCCACTGCTATTGTGAAAATGTTATATTGAGGTACACAAAACAATCTCAGTAATATAATATAAAATTTTAATATGTAAAATTTATCCTAAAAATGATGATAACGCATTCAATTTTTATTTTATTGAATGAGATAGATATTTAATCCAAAAATATTTGTTTTTTTATCATTATAATGTATATACACATACGTAGATTTATCTGGAAATATTAATATGTATTCGAGAAATTACATTGTATATTATTCTGCATATGCAAAAATATAAGAAGTTCTAGATATCTATTTTCTTTATAAATTTATTACTTGTAAATTAGAACTTTAGTTTATCATTGTAATAGAAGTTCTTTTTCTTTTACTTTGCTTACAAAATCTTTTATATAATTTTTTTTTCGACAATTTAATTTTTGAAATTTATATGAAAAAAAGAGAGATATTTTTGTATTATTTATTAAATTAATTTAAATGTATTTTTCACTGACTGTTTTTATGACAGTACAATTTTACAAAATTTTAAATTGTATTGTCGATTTTATGTATATAATATATTTATATTTGATAACTATTCAACTTTGTTTCGCAGAGAAGATAAATCTATATTATTCTAAATATATATTTTAGAAAGAAAATAAGATAAATTAAGAGTTACAAATGTAGTTAATCTTAAAAGTAAAAAGTTATTTTGCAATTTGTATATATAATAGAATAAGAAATAATGCATATTTTTTAAGTTATATATTTTTCAAGTAATAATTTCTACAATTCTACATATTTAAATTTGCCTCTTTTTGACAAATATAGTTTGCTATTCATTGGAACTTACAATTAGTGTTAGTACACAAATGTGTATCTAGCATAGTTAAAAAAATTAAAAGTATAATTAAATAAATAAATCTATTTTTGACTGTTACATTATCTACACTTAATATAAAATATGACAATATGACATAGTTTCATAAGTGTTAGGAAAAAGGGAAAAAAATAAAATCAATTAGACAAG